ACATGCAATGCAGCAATTATACATTATGTTTGGGTAAAAGAAAATAACAAGAAAAATGGTCTAACCATGGCTTGCAAAAGAAATTAAGGATAATATTAGATCCAAAGATGAGTCGTATGAAGTTGCTACAAAAGGTAGCATTGCCTAAGGATTGGGAACAGTTTAGAATTCAGAATAGGAAGACCAAGGGGCTCATTAAGGGAGGAAAAAGTAGTGAGTAAATTTTCAAGGAATATAAAAGTAGACTGTAACAGTCTCTATAATATGTAAAAAGCCAAAGGTTAGTACACTGAAATGCAGGAACCTTACAGTCTGAAATGGAAGAATTGATTACGGAGAACAGGGAAATGTCACAGCAATTCAGCAATTCCATTACTTCTGTTTTCACAGAAATAATGTCCTAGAAATATGTGGGAAACAAGCATCTATTAGGAAGGACAAATTGAAAGAAATTAGCATTAGTGGGAGAAAAAAATTGCTGGAGAAGTTATGCCAAGACAAGAGATTATAGTCTCAGTATATATGGTAGGCCATTTTGGACTGAGATGAAGAGAAATTTCTTTACTTCAAGGGGCAATAGACCTGTGGAATTCTCTACCACAGAAGGCTGTGAAGGTCAAGTCACTGAATATGTTTTTCGGAATAAATAAATTTCTGGAGGCTGAAGGTGTCACTGGTGCATGGAAAGAGAAATGGGAGTGTGGCATTGAGATAACTAATCAGGTATTATATTGGGTGTTGGAATGGACTCACTGGGTTGAATGGCCTTCTCCTGCTTCTGTTGACTCTGTTTCTATGATTACAAGTGCAGGTCAGAGGTTAGGAATTCTACAGTGACTAACTCATCTCCTATCTCCACAAAGTCTACAAGGCATATGTTGAGCTTGAAGTGAAATATTCTCCACTTTCCTGGACTTGCCTATTCAAGACCAAGCAGCCCACTTGATTGGTACCATATCCCAATACTTTCCACATTCATTCCCTCCACTGCCAGTGGCAGTGTAACAATGTGTATCAACTTAAATAATGTACTGCAGCAACTTGCTAAGGCTGTTTCAATACTGCATTCCAAGCCTGAGATCCCGAAGCCAGAAACCATTTTGACTTGCCATTATATTGCTGAAGGAACTTCACTGTGTTACATCAATGTGTCAGAACTCTGATATATTTTTGAGTGCTTTTAGGCCTTAATTCCAAAACGTGTTTTTTTTTAAGCTAAGAGGACTGCTACAGAGATAAGATAACTGCAGCTATAAATTCAGGGGCTGGTTGGTAAAACATCTAAGCAGTATTAATGGGATGTAATAGCTGAAGGTGTCTAAGAAACTGCAAACAGACTGGACTGTGATTCCTTCTGACTACAAAGGTAACAAGGAACTGACGATCCACTGCTAAACAACAAGCCACCCATGGTGGATTATGTCCTAAACTGTTGACACAGTTTGTGTTTTTGTCTTTGAAGAATACTCAAGAACCTGGGTTAAAAAGTTGGTTTTGACTCTCCCGAAGTGTGTCTGTGGGCCTGAATGTTCTTACGGCTGCGAACCTGGTTTTGAATGTTAATGTGCTGTGAAGGTCACTATCGAAGGACTGTGGAACTCCCGTTTTGACATGATTTTGGGTAATACCCACACCAGATGGTACTGAAATCATGTAAGAAAGCAGCTCACCACCGCAAACCTAAGGGCAATTAAGAATGAGTGACAAACAGTGGCATGCAATGGACACCAGCATCCCATGAAGAGATTTTAAAAAACGACATCAAGAAGATACCATTAGCAGCTCAGTATCTTGAAATTTCCTATCTCTGATATCATAGTGAGAGTGTCATCACTACAAAGCTACGGGGAGTTCCAGGAAGAAGCTCATCACCACCTTGTGATTGTGATCTTTGGCAGCAACAGTGATATTGTGTGAATGAATTTTTAAATATCTTTTGCTTTTATCTAATGGTGCTTGCTAATAAAGTGTCAACATAAAGGTTCCTTCTTCACCTCAGAAGTGGAGATTGCACTGACAGCCACTGCTTTGGGAAGAGTCACTCTGAAAGCTGGCATTTAGGTTTGCAATTTGGTCCGTAATTGTTAATGTTATTGAGTTATAAAAACTGCATGTAGAGTAATTTTTTATAGATGTCAAACTTCCTTTGGGGGTTGGTTAGCTAAATTGGCTGGATGGTTAGAATGTGGATGGGAATTACACTAATGGTGTGAGTTCAGAACTCTAGAGAAGAGTAAGAACTGTTCATATATTCTGAAGAAAGGTCCAGACCCGAAACGTCAGCCTTCCTGCTCCTCTGATGCTGCTTGGCCTGCTGTGTTCATCCAGCTTTACACCTTGTTAGCTCATATATTGTTTGTTTGTTTTAGGAGAAAGGACAGTCACCAGTTTTTGAATAATTTATTTGAGCAACTCTCATTACCAGGCAAAGAAACAAAGAGTTTGCATTGACACAAGAATTTTTGGATCCCAAAAACACATGAATAAGCATTTAATTACTTTTTAAAAATTTTGTGATGTAAGGTGTGTGATTCATGTACGTTGGTGTAATTTATATTAGACTTTAGCTTTTGGACTTGGTCTGCATGTATGAGGCAGTTTAATAACTTTCCCTTTCTGAAGCTGTACTTTTAAACTAGTATATTTCAGAGAACAGGTGACTGTGGGTTTCCTTGTGTCTTTTTTACCTTGTGAGAACTTTTTTTTTTAATCAGAGTGAGCAAATGTTGAATCGTATTAACTTGCTTTTGGTTCAGAAATGAACAAGAATTGATTTTGTTTTCCTTAAGAAAAATCCATAGATTGGAAAGTGCAGTTCACAGATGACCTTGTTGTGGTCAGATATAAGGATAGTTTCTTCTCCATTACAAGGTTTGTTCAGAACAGTTAGGAAATAGGTTTCCTCAGTGTAAGCATTTTGTTTGAAAATTTTATAGTAGAAGTGGTTATAATAGAAGTAATAACCTTTAACAGGCTATTTGAAGCTAAGAATGTTTAAGCTCAGTTGACTGAGTAACCGAGGAAGAGACTGTCAACTTCTCAAGACTAGGAATTAAAAGAACTCTTTAGTTAAACCTGTAGATGTATTAGAGAAGGGAACTCTCTCTGATATTTGGGTAAAGTGGCTGGAAGGTGGTGATATTGGGACAGATGGGATTTTATTTAGCCATCTCTTTCAAAAGTGTTCAAATTGTGTTATATGTAAACAACTTGGTTTGTTCTACTTCACCTTCATTTCTTTTGCACAATAAACATCTTTTTATTGTTAAAACCAAATCTGCACTATTGCATGCTTGTGTTTTGGTGAAAGACCGTCATGTTAAACAAAAAGATCCCATACAGCCAGATTTCAGTCTGGGATCTGACTTGTTAAGTTGTAGCATTAGTTGGGATCATAACAATTTGTGATTACTTTGGTTTTCTGTGCCAGTGTTCGCAGAGCAGGATCCCACCAGCAGCACTGAGATAAATGACAAGTTTTTTTTTATCTCCAGTAACTGTTCTCCAGTAACTCTGTAGTACCTTTTAGTATCAGCTTAGATCATCTGGTCAAGACCTAGAATGGGCCTTGACTCAGTCTTTTGACTTTGAGATTGCTACCAGTAGTCTAGGTTGATATATATGACTGGCTATTGTACAATGATGTCCATGGGTTGTGTATTTTTGAATGTAAAATTTTGAGACATTAAAATTGAGACAGATAGTCAGGAATTTAGCAACATAAGATTGAGGACTAGGTGGACATTTTGCAGAATTTTTCATCAGGAGACTGCATAGTTGGAGTTGAGTTTTTGACAAGGTTTGTGAAATGTGGTCTGTGGAAGGAATGTGTTTGATTGGTGAAATAGTCTGCATTAAGTGTGCCACAATTTTTTACACTCTTTAGGGAGAAGAATGAAAAGTAGGAGCTCAGTGGGAGCACGAAGGGAGTAAATATAACACTTGTGCTCAAAGGTCATGTTGTTTTATATACTTCACAGATTCTTGTCTTTGGCTAATATTTTAAGCTTGAAGGAACAGGAGAAAAGAAAATAGCAAGAAAAATTGAATTGTGAAAGCAAAACTCTAATTACACCTCGGTTTACAACTTGGGTATTTTGGTCAGACCAAGCAGCTCTCAAGCCAGTAAGTTGAGGTATTTAAACAGCTATTCAACTAATTCCAGGCTGCTGAAAGGCTTACTGGAGATTCAGGAAAAACATCTGAATTTCAAAGAATTGGAAACTTGGGGCATATTATTTCCATATAGAATGCTATCAGGAAATTGGACACAAATTGCACTAGAAATGGTATTTTCTTTCCAAATGAGGTTATACTTTGGTTGTCAGTTATAATTCATGTACACATTCAGGGACATACCCTTTTGGTCAGCATAATAAAACGTAATTCTTCCATCATTTAATCCAAATGTTAAAAAAGTTGAAAATTTGAAGACGCTCACTGAATGAAAGAAATTGATGAAATCATGATATCATTGTTTTCATCCAAGTTGGTCTTGTTTTGTGTGTAGAGCTGCTTCAGATGACTTTTATTTTGAAACTTGCATTAATTATTATAACTTGATTAATGACTGATGAAACTTGAGTTAAAATTACACAACCTTTAACACTGGTTTGGACAATTTTAGCTGAATTGTGGAATCTCTAGGCAACAGACATTAACAATATCAGGAACAGCATAAATGCTGTCCTCTCCACATTTCACTTCACTTCAGCTCTGATGAAGAGTCATCTAGACTCAACGTTAGCTTGTTCTCTCTCCAAGGATGCTGTCTGACCCGCTGTGATCTCCAGCATTTGTTATTTACAGCACAGATTCCAGCATCCGCTGTAATTTGTTCCTAGATATCACGAACTGCTAGTTTACCAAAGATCCCATGCTGCCAATACTTTAATATGTTCAATTTCTGTGTAATGATGCTGTTTCTATGATTAGTGACCATCAGGTCCATGCAATATTATCGTTACTTTAGTGGCCTTAACAAATGCTTTATGTTGTAGGACCTTGTTGTAATGGGGGCGCCTGGCTCATACTATTGGACTGGCACTGTCAAAGTTTATAATCTGAAAGATGGAAAGTATTATCACTTTGAGGATTCAATCATTGGACCCAGCCATTACCGTTACCTTGGTAAGTATTTGCAACATAATAGTAGGGTTACAGCAAAACTTTTTTTGGTTTTTGAACATTTTAAGTCCGTGAAGTGAAAATCAGGCCAAATTGAATTCAAAATGAAGCGAGTTGAGGGGAGTCTCAGTGCAGTTTGTTCTGGTGTCACTGGAGTAGATTTTCAACTTTCCCATCTGGGGATTAAATGCAATAAACATAGTCTGGGACTTTATCACCTATGTTTGTTCTTCTGCTAAATCCTCAAAGCTTCAGTGATATCTTTGACAAAAAAAAATCACAGTATACATTTTGGAGAAAGACATGCACAACACATCATATTTTTCTCAAATTAAGGGATGGACCATTGAGTTTTATGAGATTGTTGTATATTGGTATTTAAAAATACCAAACATGTCCTTCTAGAATCATACAGCTTGGTATTATTGTAAGATGTACGGAAATATACAAGATGATCTACTACATCAGACGATGTAATGCCTGAGATTTGCTTCGTGGCCAATACATTGGATGCTGATTCCCTTTCAGGCAATAATGTCCACCCCTTTTTGCAGGAATCAGAAACATCATGTGTTTATAAAAATTCTTTAGTTTATTCAGGGATCAGGGGTTGGTTAATTTATTCTTGTGCAGCCAATTATAACCTTCAAATTATTTTTAAAGTGAATGAAGATCCACTTGGCATACATTAATTGACATTGGGGAGATGCATTTGTCCAATGGCTCAATTTGTGCACTCATCATTTGACACATTTTACGTTTGCACTGCATTTCAGTTATAAATAAAATATAAATATCAGTATTAGCCTCACAATATCACATAAGACATTAATTTTTCTGGAACACTTTTTTGATTAAAGCACCAAAATGTTGTAGCTTTTTTTAAACATTAGGAGAGGACAACGAAAATAAGATCAGAGACTGCTTTCATATAGTTTTGTTTTTGCAGGAAGTATTTGTATTCGATTTCCTGAGCATTGCTGTATGCATTGACAAATATTGTTGTGAAGTTGCTGAATCTATTTGTTTACGTTGAATTAGAGGGAATGAATGGAGCTTACTGAAACAGGTCTTGCTGTTAATTTGAACCAGCTGGACTATATGTTTATTATTCTGTTCTTTTCCCATATAGGATATGCCGTGGCTACTGGCCATTTTACACAACCTAGTTCTTTGGAGATTGTCGGCGGAGCCCCACAGGATGAAGGCATTGGAAAGGTATAGGTTTAGAAGTATAATCAGTTCAGTCATCCACTTTTATCACAAATGGCCACTGAGGCCCTCATGCATGTCCTATGGAGCTGCATTTCCAGAAACATACTAATTTTCCAAGTGCAGCTGTGTCATAAAGGAAAATTTTATCATTATTTATTTATTTAATTAATTCAGTTTGTGGTATTGCGAATTTTACTTTGTACAAGTAAGTTCAGAACATCTGGATCCAATCATTGACAAGCAGCCACAATTGTAAATGTTTCTAGTTGTGTTCAGTCAGTGTATATCATTAGCAGTGGATGGTGTGGGACAATGGAGACTTTTAATTGTACAAAGATTTTGTTTCCAGCCCAGCCCTATTTCCCCTAGCCATTGTCCAAAACTGGAAATGAGCTGGAACCTCCTCCCCTTCAAGAGATTGATCACAATGTATTGTCAGTAGATTCCTCCAATCTTGATTTATGAGATTGCTTTCATTCTGCTGCTGCTTTTGCTGAGATATCTCACAATTATCTCGCAATCTCCAGTGAGCCCAATTGTATAAAACGCACCCCAGCTGCATGAAAGATGTATGAATTAGGTCAATGTTTAAAGGTGAATGTTGGAAAACGTTTGCCTAATGCTAACTTTTGCCCACCAGTTATGTTAGAAAAAAATGCAGGGTTGTTACTCATGATTTTCCATCTATTGCAATTAATAGACAGAATATAAGGATAGTTTGCAGTTTCTTGATTTCCTCAAATATATTAATAATGACTTTCCTTGTCAGATTGTGTATTTTTGAACCTCACTATTTAGTCTCAATATCATCTCACTGCATTAGTTACTATTCTTTTGAAGGTACAGAACATAAAGGAAATTTTCATTTTACTTCCTATCATGACATTGAGGCTCAAATTCAAGGGCTAGTTCTGGGTCATGCAGCAAATTAACATGCTGTGAAGAAATGTAGGCAGACTTCACTGCTGCTGATCATGTACCCAATTTTATTTTATTGCATTGGCCAAAAACCTCACAGACCATGAAAGTTTTATTCATTGGAAGTTTTAAGAATCGCTAAACTTGCAAGAGCTTGTGAAAGGCCTGTATGTGTGGCACATTCCAAATTTCAGTGTAGCCAAGTACATGCATCTTAGAGGAAACATTTGCTGTTCTCCTACTCATCTCATTCTGTCCTTTGGTGTGTCCTGTTCTCATTCTCACATGTCCATTTCAGGACTGTGAGCACCCTTTTCCTGTCATGAGCTAACACATGAGAGTGTGCAGTAAACATTTATCGTATTTATCATGTAGAAGTTGAATTTTTTAAACTACTTTTTAAGGTGAAATTTATGGGGTTGACTATTACATGGATACTATGTGTGAGCAGCTGAAATACATGCTACAGTCCAAAATACTGTATCATTAGCAGAAGCCAAATTCATCTCTAAATGAATAAAGAAGAAAAACACAACAAATTATGGTACCAGTAATTACTGGATAAAGACAGAAGCAAAAATGAATTACTGGTAATAAGTTTTTATTTAAACGTACAAAAATTAAACATGTCAAAATACAAAACTTCTTTAAAATCCTGCAAAATCACACTGTTCAACATCTTCAGGACTGAATAAAGCTTCATAATTATCAAGAAGAATAATATCATCGTATGGATCGTTTTCATCTTTGTTGTCCGTAGTTAGAGGTCGCACATCATCCGCTTCTTCATCTTCATGTATGTCATCCCATAGATAATTGTCCTCTGTACCGTCCAATGTATACAAAATTTCACATTTCTTGAATGATTTGAAAATAATGTCAGCTTTTATTTGCTTCCGTGAATCAACGATCCATTCACAGATCAGTGACAGTGATGGAGCCCACGTACTGCCTCCTTTTGTGTATGTTTTTTTTCTTCATCATGCATCCAGTTATTCCACTTCAATCTTATCGTGCCCTTAATTGGCTTATTGATACTAACATCCATTGGTTACAAAACACTTGTAAGTCTACCAGAAATTATAGCTACGTCGGTGTTATGTGATCAGATGTTATCAACAACGTTCTTCACCACATGTGATCTCAACTGGTCCCAGATGAGCAGACTTTTTTCCTTGCGTAGTCCACCAGGTCATAAATTCCAAACTTCCTCTATCCATTTTCTACATCCATCTTCATTCATCCAGCCTTGTAGATGCACATGGATGACGATTCCTTTTGGAAACTTCTCCTTTGGCAAAGTATTTCTCTTAAAAACAGCCATCAGTTTTAACTTAGCGCCATCAGCCATACAAGAAAGAACTAAAGTAAACCTATTTTTTTCTCATGGCCAAGACAACAAGGTGCAGGGCTGGATGAACACAGCAGGCCAAGCAGCATCCTAGGAGCAGAGAGGCTGACGTTTCGGGCCTAGACCCTTCATCAGAAAAGGGTT